CAAATACGAAACGTATTTTGGTATTAAAAGGCAACACACAGTGCAATGGGGAACTTTGAGGAGGGTGTAACTGGGGAAATGGCTCGAGGCAAAGGGAGACAGACACAGGGGGGGCAAGGAGCACGCAGGAAACGGGGTGCACGGTGCCCAGCGGCGGAGCCTACTCTTCCTCTTCTGGGCAAAGGCACAAGGGAGTTAATGAGCTGCAAAGGGATGGAGTCTGCACTGCGCACCGTAACTCAGGCTGGGATGGTGGCACAGGCGTAGGGGCCACATGACCATCCCAGAGAGAGGGGATGGTAGACTGTATCAAGTTGAGGGACTGCTGAGGTAGGAAAAAAACATCGTTTTGGGGGTGTGTGGTGGGAGAAAGGACATACGGAATACATTTCGTATCTTGTGTCTACACTGAAATGCTAGAGAACAAAATATTTCCAAAGAAACCTCCAGCTACTTGTTAATTTCCTAGGGAAATTAGATCATCAACATGGACAAAAACTTATTAATTAAAGGCTTCAGGGCACGGAGTTTACTGAAACAGAAACATCGTCCCTTAACTGGGATGTACACAGCTGGTGAGGGCCCACCACCGAATCTCCAAGTTGGGGACGGTTTTTTGTACACTATACTTTCTTTTCCCAGTCAATTTCAAAATTACTTTCCATTTCTTAGGAAAAAATGATGATTATCTTGGTGAGAAGGAAAATAGCGAGGGAAACATTTTAATGTCTGATCAATCTGCCGTAGCTGCCTCATAAAAGGGCTTATTTTTCCTGTCAAATGTGATCATTCCAAGTGTTAGGGGATAATAAAAAAACTTCAGGATATATTGTACATTTTAACAAATATGTCTGTCTTAAGTTAAAATATTTTACTCTGTTTGCTTGAGCTTTGGTGTATTGCCAACCTTTAAGGGCTGTGGTTAGGGTGCAATGCTTTTAGCAAATCAAAATGAAACTGAGCAACAATTTATCCAACTACAATGACAGTGACAGCCTTCAGATAACCGGGTCATCCACTTGAATTCTAGGGAAAGAGAAACAGCTCAAGGACGCACACGTTGCGGAGTGCGTACGGCATTAACTAAATAAGCAGAGGACAAAACGAGTGTGCACACAGTGCCTTCAGATTGTGGTGAGGACTTTTCCAGAGGCACTTGGACCCACAAAATCTGCACCACTGCATAATCATTTTCAGACATGAAGGCAATGTCAAACATCCCTGCAAAACATGAGTATGTGAAGCCACACATGTCAAACGAAAAAGAAACCATGTCCCTTCCCCTGGGAGGTTCAAGTATCTTGGAACTGTTTTGATAAGAGTGGCTAAGTGCAAACGACAAGGACGGGAAACATTTGCCGAAAGAGAGCAGAGCCGGGCGCTGCTAAGAGGAGGGGAGACCCGATTTGCGTCCTATTTTTTTCTGGTACTAAGACTTCTTACATTAGAATGGAATGCTGTTGGGCACATTTCTATATTTCTGGGTTTCAGTTGCTGACAGTAAAAATAAGGGATACTGAACAGAAACACATCCTAAGGCAGTAAACTTGCAAAGAACTAATTCGTCAAGGTCAAGGGACAGCGAAATGTCAGCGTGTCTACCTCCCTCTGTGTCGATCAAACAGACTTCATTGCTAGACTCGGTCTGATGCTCCTGATTCGCAGCGATTTAGGGAAAGGCGACACTGAAAGGGGGATCTTCATTTGGAAAATGCTCATTTTTACTCTTATGTTATGAACGTCTGAATACTTTATCTCTAAAAATTAGTACTCATCTTTGGAGGAAAAAAAAAGATTGTGCCACCCTGCTCCCAGGATAAAACCAGCTTTGGCAATCTTCAACTCGAGGCTTTTCTGTTAGTAAAAATGAGCCCCTCCCCTTCCCTGACTGCACGGCAGGTGGTCTGTCTCTCTGTTTCGAGGCACTGGGAACCCCGGAAGTGGGAGGGCACACTCGCGCCCATCGTGGGGCCGTGAAGAGGCACGCGCTGCGGCCTTGTGCGGAGCCCCGGTCTGCTCACAGGCGGTGAGGGCTCAGAGGCGCCTGAAGCACGGGGCCCCGGCAGCCCTCAGCAAGGCAGGACGCAGTGGCTGAGACTTCGGGAGCCACCAATGCACATCACCTGTGTGCGTGTTACTGTCGCTCTTATTTCTGGGACTAGATACCGTCTTCTTTGCCCTTGAAGAGCACTCAACGGTCATATCACCCATTTCTCGTAAAGTCTTCATTTGTTTTCACCGACCTCAAGTGTGAGAGCCCAAAACTTTTTGAGAATCAACACAAACAAGATGTCTAATACTTCTGTTTTTCTCCCAAAGACTTCACTTAGTGAGCAACAGGGTTGGTATCACATAGAGTATTACGTTATTTAGGTGTGGTGTATATATTGTATACAGTCACTATACACATATATACACAATAGCTATACATACACATCACACGTATACATACATCTATCATTTGCTTCAATGTCAGATCAACCACACACACATACCACCACATACATTTACTGTCATCCTGAAAAACAGTGACATAGCCAGCATTTTGCATCCTATTGTTTTCAAGCTTAGAAAAAAAAATACGGCATAAAGTTAAGAAATTTTGCTTTAAAAAAAAATTAGGTCTTTTATGTCTTTTAAACTTCCTAAGTCTAATTTTAACATGGAACTTGGCTTTAAAAATGCCAAATAATAAACAACCGTTTCATGTCCCTTGATGGCTGTAACCACATTTGACCCAGTAGTTAAAAGTACTCACTTCCCCCTTCTAATTATGTGACCTGGAGTGACAAACGATGGAATCATTTTTACTGAAATCAGTAAGATTAAAACTATTATTTATACTACTTTGTAAATTATTACTTCAGAGTATGGACTCAAACCAAACTCCAGCTTGAGTGTATCTTTCGTAGTTCCAAACTTCCCAGAATAAGGCTTTCTAAATATTATCTTTGCTGGGTGTTAAGAGTAACTAAGATAAGTCCTCTGGATGACTTACACGGCTTTAACTTTAACCTCAAAAATTCCATTACTCCCGTGGTGACGAGGGAGTGAGCGTGTGCGTGAGAGAACAAGGAGACGTTACTGACTTCCATCATAAGCTCTTTCGGACTGTACATTTAAATCACACAAGTTCACAAAGCAGGGGAAGGGAAGAAAAGAATGAACTAAGAAAGAGCGTAGCTGATAGAAAGCCTGAGCTAGTGAGCACTAGCAAGTTAATAAAGGGTTAACAGGGCATCGCTCTTCCGCTTTTAAGTCTGTTTTAGAAATGCTTGTTGGACAGGCAAGTAATTGTTCCTGATTTTTTATAGTTGTCTAATCTATTTGACTCATACTGAGAAGTAAAGGCTTCAAGTACAAGATTTTAAAAATGATCAGAACTCTAGTAATTGTTGGGTTTCTTGCTATTTGAAGAACGGGGGAGTGACGGTAACCATCAAAGCAACAGCCTGGAAGGAGGCCGGGCGCACAGGTGGGGCAGGGGCAGAGCTGACGGTCAGCAAGCGATGCGAGCAGTGACCTTACGGTTCCAACGCCAATCCAAGGCCTCGTGACACCACTCTACACACAATTTATAAACTGTACCAAGAAGGAAGCCCCTGAACTCTCCAGGGAAAACTCTGCCCATCCCACTGCATTTTCTCACTCTTACAGGCAGAATTTCAGAATTACTTACTTAATGGCTAACATTTTAGGAGAAATTATGTTGGATGACTAGCTCTATGAATGGCTTCTCTTCAGAGAATTACAAGTTTTAAAGAACGGCACTACAGGTAGTTTTATAACCAGCTTTCAATTATTCAGTTTAATAAAAGATTTGAGTTATAACTATGTGAAAGAGAAATAGAAACAGGGTTTGTATCCTCGTGAGCCTATGGCTTGGACCAATGAATGGAATCACGCACGGTTCTTCTCATCACTGGATCATGAGGAAAGGGAATTAAGATTGAAGTACCCGAAATCAATGCATGCACAATGACTTTAAAAGCATAGTGTAATGAATCCTGGAAACACTTCTCTGATTGATCAGAAACCCTACTTTATACATGAGGACACTGGGGCACTCCAAAGTTTAGTGACTTTAAGAGTCAAAGTAAAACACGGAGGTGGGTATCCCCGGCCTGAAGCCCACATACTCCTTCCCACACCTGGCTGTCTGCATTTATGATTATTTACATAAGTTTACTGCCAAAGACATACGTGTTTATGCCTCTTGCAGTGAAACCAGCCTCGTCACTCTTTTGCTTAAGCTACTATGTGAGGCAGTAAGCACACCCATTGTCCGCAGTAACCCCGGGCCGCAGGTCTGACTGGCTCATGAGATGCTGACTAGACTAGGGTAGTATTGCCTGGCAGACCAAGTGATGACATCGTGGAAATAATACATGTTAAGAAAAACTTCATAGGTCAGGTATGCGATGAACTCAGTGAGAGGGAAGTGGGGTGCACTCTGAATGTGGACCTGAGGGCTTCTGTTATTACGGGGAGTCCAAAGGTGCGCCCTTGCTCACACTATCTCAGAGAGTCTTTGAAAGTCTGGATTTCAAGAAACCGCAAGTCTGGCTGTGGCAGAAACAGTGACGCTCCTTAGAACCAAATTCTCATTTCCTGTGTAACACGGACAGAGCTTCAGCGGGGCTGAATGGGCACAAGGCAGCAGAGCCACCACGGCCTCCCCCCGGACTGCTCGGCTGTCTGCCCAGCTCTGTGCGGAGGCCCCGCTGCCGCCCTCACCTGCGTCGGTGTGGACTTCTACACATCCTGAACAATGAGCAGCTTCTCTCCCGCCCATGATGTACTAAGCTGCCAGATGTTGAGTCAACCCAAAATCACACTGTATTCTACTGTATTAGTGTCAGAAAAGCCCCAAGATGTCAAACCTAGGGCAAGGCACAGGTCTTGCAGTAGATGTTTTAAAGGCAAGGGAAAATATTTAGGAATGGGATTTCTGATCATCTGACTCATGACTGCCTTTCTGTCGCCTGTTCTATTCCTAGCTGGAGAATTATATCCAGGACAACATGAAGAAAGAAATGGTAGAGATGCAGCACAATGCGGTGCAGAATCAGACCGCGGTGATGCTGGAGATCGGAACGAGCCTGCTAAACCAGACAGCAGAGCAAACCCGGAAGCTGACAGACGTGGAAGCCCAAGTGAGTGATGCAGCGGAAAACACGGTCCAGCCCCATAAACCCTAGCACAAAATCGTGCTGCCTGGTTACTTAGTGAAATAAAGGGAAAGTAAAGAAATCTCAAATAGAGAAGAAAAAAGAATGACTTGATAAGAAATTGAGAATTTGTGGCTAGATGGGAATTTACGATCAGTAAATACATCTTCATTTTCAATGTTGAGGTTAAATTACATTATTCTCTAGGGGCCCTCAAATCATGTCCGTATTGCTCTTTCTTGACTACACGATAAGGGCTGCTCTGCCTCCCTGGTGTTTTCTGGACTCCAGATATTTTTTCCATGTCTAAATCCTGAACTCTTTTGTGCATTTGAGAAATGAAAAGCCAAATGCTAGAAACTTTGTCCTTAAACCTCACTCTCAGTGAAAGAAGACTCTTTTCAAAATGATTTTGAAAAGAGTCTCATAGACATGTATTATTTCTCACAGATGCTTTTCAAAAATGATTTTCTATAATGAGCTTATACAACTTTCGGTATGAGTTTATAGCGGAAGCAGCAAAGAGTTTATAAGCAGCGGCAGTTATAGCACAAAGCGCGTTTAACCCTTACAAGACCCCGAGTTCTGGGTGGTTCTAGTTCCCCCATTAACCAGATGTGCCTGGGCGGGACACTCAGCTTCCCTGGGGCCACAGCGCTTTGAACCGTCAAAGGAGAGCTGGGTCAGATGACCAGCTGCTGGGAGTCCGTGAGTCCTGGCTGACAGTATGAAATATGGAAATAGTGTAAGCATAACAGCAGAAGCGTGAACATTATACCAAAATTCATCCAGGGTCACGCTAAATTCCAGAGTCATGTTAAATGACATACAACATGTGACCTAGTAAGAATATTCAATGTGGGGAAAAAAAGTGCTCTTGGTGGAATTTATGGAGATGCTCCAAGTTCAACCCTCGTTGCTGGTGAATTGGCTTTCTGGCTCCTAGTGCTGCTTTCTCTACAGGCTTAGGAAGTTTGTACCTTCCTACTCTGAGCTGTATGTAATGCTCAAAAAAAAGAGGAGAGTTAACTGTAAACGATTCCCACCGCATATTATTCCTATGAACTAGCTCAGCGGAAAGGACCAAGAAATGGCAGGCATCCTGGGAGGGTGGGATGCGAGGCAGGAGAAAGCAGAGGCTCCGACAGCAGGAAGAGCCCGTCTAGGATGGCACAGTGTTCTTCCGCTGTCTTCCTAAGAACCGCTGGGGAAGGTAGAGAAAATGGCAGGGAAGTGGTACAAGGATAAAAGGTTGGGGTTTTTTTGGTTATTGGTAAGTTTTAATGTTTCACATTGTTATTTTGGATAAAAGGTTTTTTATCTGAGGAGACAATAAGAAGTTATTTGCTTATCAAATCTTTCCACAACATCAGAACAGTTTAGGGAAAACACAAATATTTTACATCATGGATCACAAGATACTGAAAACTGTAATCCCAAAAGGTAATAAAAGCTAAAAACGATAAGATACAGTTTTAAAGGAAATGTATCAATATATCCTTGGTCAATTATTAAAATGAGTTAGTAATGCTCAAGTCACGTCTTGGTAGTGGAAACTGGTGGGCAATCGAACACTTCTGAAAAATGTCCTGGAACTACAACACTTCTTCTATTATCAGATGATGATAATAAAGTGTAAGACACAGCAATACTGTAAACCTTTGCTACGGTTTATGTAAGTCAGATTTATTAACATTTAATGAGCTTTTGTTGGGTCACATGATTTTTCAATGTATCTATTGTGAAACTAGGTATAATGTGATACAGGATAACAGGAAAATAGGAAAATGGCTGGAAAGAGAACAGCCTCAAATGTCTAAGTAAACACACTGAAATGGCTGAACCTAAGCAAGGACATCAAAGGACCCAATATGCACCCCACCTATTTGAGGCATTTGCTGAGCAGTTACTATGTGAAACAGATTTAAATACAAACATGACAATTTCTGATTAGAAGCAAGATTCTTCTAGCCTGTCAGAGTGAGAGACTATTACACAAGGCAGTGAGAGGTGGTTGGAAGCCTGAGATCCTAGAGCCAAGAGACCCCACCTGACCTGGATACGTCAGCCACCTGCGGCTGGACGCCCTCTGAAAAGTGATGGAGAAACATGGTAACTGGTCCTGGATCAGCCGGCGCCTGTACCCAGCCACCCCACCTTTCCCCCACTGAACTCACTTTGTTTGCCCTTAGGAGTGACATAAAAGCCACGAGTTTCCAGTTCTTTTCAGCAATAACCAACATAGAATGTTAGGGCCCAAAGAATAGTTAGGCCTAATCTATATTCCAGGTGTTAATATTAAAACTCAGCCCCCATGTTGGCCAAGGCCTTTTATCCACCCGCAGAAGAAGGCTCATGGCATGACCTCTTCCAGCTCTGACCATGGCCCAGACGGACCCTCGGCCTGCACGGCGGGGCCGCGCAGAGCCTGCTGCGAATGACACAGACCCCAAGCAAACAATGATTCTTTCAAGGACCCCTATTCCTGGGCAACACTCACACATGACATCACGTCCTGAATAACCATGACACAGAGGATGTGAGTAATGGATTCTTCCTGCTAAAAGGCAGCCAAATGTGGCAGAACTCACCCTTAAAGCTGTTTGAACACAATGGGAACAGCAAGGCTGCGCATAGTGTATGTCAGAAAGGACCGCAAAGCAGACCTGTTCCCACTTCACACAGAGGTGTTATTGCTTCCTATTGGGTGATGGGATTTTTAAAATAGGAAAAAGAGAAATAGAAAAATAATAAAAGGCTATTTTTTATTGCATACGACCAAATATTTTTATTGCACACAATAAATGCATACGACTAGGAAATACTGAGCTAAAAATGAGCTATATTGTTACACCATGGAAGCACGTGACTTTTAATCAGAGGTCCGCTGGCAAGGAGGTACGAGAAAAACCATTTTGTTCTGAGCAGAGGCAAAACTTTTCACTTGTGAACAAATTCGGATACATTACGTATGACCAATTTTTACTCCCACTTGTCTCACTGTGTGAAAAGAAATGACAGAACATGGCAGAACAAGAAAAATGACATTATATGATTTGACAGAAACACCATTGCCCAGAACTACTAAATGCTTTCTCAAATAACGACGTGGTGAGAAAAGTGTAACACACTCCAGTGCGATTCAGGACATCAAGCCTTTGTAGAGAATGAAAATTGTGCCAGAATAAGATACTTTGGTAAATAAATGATGCTTTAGTTCTGTTTTCTTAGAATCTAGATAAGTTAATTAAAAGGAAGTTACATGTATTTAAAAAATGATCAACAGGAATTTTATTTTGTTCTGTTTAGGTATTAAATCAGACAACGAGACTTGAGCTTCAGCTTCTGGAACATTCCCTTTCCACAAACAAACTGGAGAAACAGATTTTGGATCAGACCAGTGAAATTAACAAACTGCAAGATAAGAACAGGTAATAAAAGTGCAAAAAAAATGCATACTCCATAATCGCACACTTCCTAGATATGAAAGCCTAGTTCATGCGACTACTAATCATAAGCATGGCTTCCCAAGGGCTGAAACATAGCGCGTGAGGACCAGAAACCTTCAGAGGGGAAGGTGGGGCGCAGCTCTGGAGGAGCAGGCTGGCAGCTGCGCTTCTCAGACACCCCCAATTTGGTTATTCATTCTCTGGCCCCTTAAAGATTCTCGCGGTCATCATCTAAACTCTGCTGCCAACAGAATGCCCGCTGATCTATGGAAAGACACCGCCACGGTTGTGGAGTACAATGAACACCGGCCTGGGCATTTTAATACTAACTTTACCAAGTCTCGGCCTCTGGGGACTTAGTTTTTCCTGATGTGAAATGATACAGCAGGAAGGCTACACTCATACTGCAAACCAAAGCACGTTACATGATACTCTTAAAACATATGATAAAGTAAAACAAAGTTTATATGAAATCCAATTAATACTTAAACATAGAAAAATCCCAAGAAACCAATACAAAAACAGAAAATTATGGGTGATCGATGGAGATTGTTTTCATAGATTTATTCTAATTGGGGACATAGGAGGATAATTATATTCACATACCTGGTGTGGTTATTTCCTTGTTTCTAATCAAGACACGTATGCATGACATGGAGCACAGTCAGACAATTATGCTTGTTTTCAGAATTAAATAATTTCGATTAAATAATTCTTTATTTTTAACCAAAAATGATGACAAATTGATTGTTTTATAGTCATTCTTTTCTGTTAGAATTAAGTTGAAATAATTTTTTCTACTTTTTGGGAAACAAGTTGAACTCCTTATTGATTTAAGATTCTGAAAAGCAAAGAGACTTTTTAATCCAAATATTTTTCTTTAATGTTTCACGTTTTCTCTTCTGCAAGGTAATAAAAGCACAATCTCTCTCATTTCATTTTACTAAAATGGCCTCACTGAATGGTGCTCTCTTCCCTCCGCTGCAGTAATGCTGGAAGCTATGGCAGCTGGGTGATCTCCTTTGTTGCTCACCCTAAAATCATGTCTGTGGGACCTGGGACACGTCGTTTGTTGAACACACGCTAGTCCTGAACATTGTTCACACCTTGGGTTCCTAATTTAGTCTGCTACAATGCTTGCTACACTTACCAGTTAAATATGCTGGTTATGTTGCCCCAAATTCAACATATTTACAAATATCCATCAAATCATACTTCCTTTTGCCTAGGAAAATATGAATCTTCTTCCCACGTTCTGACACACTGCTTAATATTTTTCACTTACTACAAGCAAACTGTTACACAAAGCCAGCTCTGAAATACAATCCACAACTTTCTCTACATTTTTCGATCATTCATAATTTGATGACATTTTTTTGTATGTTAAAGCTTTACATTGTATACAACACTGAATTCCACCCATGTGGTAGCTTGTATTTTCTGATTATTGTTTAAATGATCCTTCACATTTTTTTCACTTAATCTTTCATATTTCCTCCCAGTTTAAGCTACATTGAGCAATAATGTACTTTTCCAATAACTTGTGTCTAGTTTCATATGAAATTAAACTTAAACATCACATTTTCTCCATAAAATCACCTTGTCACCTGTATCTGACAAACTCGAAGTTTATGTGACTTGCAACGGCAAAGGCACATGGCTTGGACTGCGGGTATTTCCCTCGGCTGCACATAACAGGCAGAACTGTTTCTGAACGACCTGCCAGAGGACACACATTAGTACAGATACCGAAGGCACACCTTTTAACAGCTGACTTATCACAAAAACTGTATGTACCAAGTCTGTACCTACAGGAAGAGTCATCTTTTTAGTAGCTGCAAAAACCATATTCTCATTTGTCAAAAATGTTATATGAAAGGACAATAATAAGGTTTTTTTCATGAATAACTGTGAAAAAGTAAAAGTAAGAAAACTGTGCTGAGGATTTTCCGTCTCTCAGAGAGCCTGCATCCTGTGTTTTAAGGTGCCTTAAATGTTGACTAGCCTAGGTTTTCTCTTGCAAGAACATCATCACAAAAAAAACTTGTGAATGTGTTGTACATTTGACAAACTCTATTTCAAATTATCTTCAATAATTCCCCCAAAGTGCAACTGCTTCCTATGTGGAATAGTTGCAAATCAAGGCAAAGACTTACCATGGCGGACAGTTTGTTGACAATTATGTGCCTTTTCATTTTATCATTCTTTTTTTTCTTCTCAAAATAAGTGATTAATTTAGAGGCTACCTGTACCAGTTCAATTCATATGTGACTCTTGTTAAATGGCTGTTACTGGAAAGTGCTGCCATTGAAGATCTCCCCTCTGGAGAGAGGTGATAAAAACTCATCGAAGAACCAGGATCCAGCCTTGACATTTCTGCCCACACAGGATATTTCCCCACACTTTTCAAATGACCATGAATTGTGTTAGTATCAAATTAAACAGTTCCTAAGTCCAACTTTTATGGTGATGATCAAATTGATAATTCTGTGTCAGAAAACCAAAGGAGATGCCAAAGGGCAGCATTTCAAATCACGCAGAGAAGCCCCAAGCCTCTCTGCTTCCCTCTTCCACCCCATTACTAGTGACCTTGGTATTTGTTGGAATGTGCCGACTTCTTGCTATGAATCTACACTCTACTCTCTTCTGTTTTACCCCATTTGTTTAATTTCCTTTCACTAAAACAATGCTGATTGCAACTCCCTAAATTCATTTCCTAAGCCAGTTAACAGTTCCTGATCTGTATTTTGCAAAATGTTGCTCCCGAATATGATTTCTGGGGCTCCGCGTAGCTTTCAGTGCAGTGATCGGAGCTTTTGCACTCATTCCAGGGTGCTGCTCTTGGAACCAGTCTGGCCTGGGATAACCGGATGCTGGGCTTAACTCTTCAGTTCGTGTTTGTATTTAATTCTGAGATAAAGTCTTTTAGATCAGGAGATGACTGCCCTCTGGAGCTATACTGGTACAGGTCTGGGAGACTAAAGAGACTAAAGTTGCTCTGTCTTGTTTGACGTCTTCCCTGGGGTGCTCACACTCTGGACTGTGTGAGGGCCCAGTCTTTCTTTTATGCCTCCTGTTAAAGGCAACAAAAGAGAGTCTGCTAACAAATTTCAGCAGCACCACTTTGGAGGCAGTACAGATCAATGATTTAAAAATGCCCCACGTATTCCATGTTGATTGTGTTAGGTTAAGCATTGTAGGAGTGTTTCCAAAGTGGGGTGTCTATATGCTGATGTACCAGAAATAATTTTAGGTAGAAAACAAAAACTTCATGCATTTATTTCTGTGTTGTCTTCTGCTTCTGGTAAGTCATCTTGATTTTTAAATTAGTGAAGATGACAACTTTAAAAAAATAAGCTGATATCAGGAACAAGATGAAGAAATAACAGTTGAAAGTGGATATGGTAAAACTGATGTAAGTCTCATGCAACTAACTGTGCTACAGTGACAGATGATTTCTGTCCTGGGGTCCTGACAGCAACCTGATTGCCATACACTGACCTATAGGGACCACCAGGCTGGGGTAAATTTAAGAGCTGCAACTGAATTTCTAAAAGTAATTACTCATACTGCCTGTTAGTGCTTGTAGGTAAGACCTATAAAAGGGAGTTCCTTGGCTGAGTAACGTCTGCAGGGTTTAAAGATTCAGAAAATGTTACTGCCCCAAAAACACGTAATAGACTTACAGGTTATTTGAACTAGAAGGGGCCCCAGAGATAATCATTGAATCTAATGCCTTCATTTTAGGTAGAGATTTCTTTCTATGGGTGCATATTCACTCAGACAGACATACACCTGAGACCCAGAGGGGAATGGCCTGCCCCAGGTAACACAGCTGCTCTCGTGCAGAGCTGAAGTTCTCAGCCCCGGCTCTTTGCGCTGTCCACATGTGCCCCCCCAAGCGAGGGCACCTTCCCATGGCCCATGCTTCTCTCCAGTGAGACCACAGTCTTCCACACACTCTGCGGTGGCTTCTGGTCACAGACCTTCCACTTTCACTGGCATACTTCCTCCTTGTATCTACGTCCTGTCTGTGTTCTACCTACCTATCCACTCTCAGCAAGTTTGAGGGCTTCTTCAGAGCGGTGGCAACATCTTGTTAATTTATAAATCCTTTAACATTTTATCAGAGTGTCTTGAAGAAATAGAAACTCAATAGATAAAAAAGACTGCATGAGAATTATACAATGTATTATATTTTAGGGGTTTATAAAGCACTTGGTTTTGATGGCAATCAGAAAACCCTTCGCTAACAATTATTTCCCTTTACAAGTTTCCTAGAAAAGAAAGTACTAGACATGGAAGACAAGCATATAGTTCAACTCCGGTCAATAAAGGAAGAGAAAGACCAGCTCCAGGTGTTGGTATCCAAGCAGAATTCCATCATTGAAGAACTTGAGAAACAGTTAGTCGTGGCTACAGTGAATAACTCGGTTCTCCAAAAGCAGCAGCACGATCTCATGGAGACAGTTCACAATTTATTGACTGTGATATCAACATCAGACTGTAAGTAAAATTTATACATACATTTTTTTCTTCAATCTTAATTGCTGTTAGTCAGTGAAACTCTCAAAATTCTAAAAAAAAAAAACCTCTCATCTTTCAGAAAAGGCACAGTTTCTCTTACATACTTCATGTGAAAGCTTTATTGGATCTCAGTACAGACCCAGTTAAAGAGGAGGGGGATGAAGAGAGGGAAGTGGAATATATATTTATAACTAATTAATTATTAATAGGCAACACACCCCAAAAACATACTTTAGATTCATGGGCTCAAAGGCCTACTTTGAGTTAGTTCCATCATTAGCTAAATGCATAATCTGGGCAAGTGACTGCACCATACTCGACCTCAATTAATTTTTTAAGGGGGAAAAACAATACTAGACCCATAGGACTGTTGTGCGAATTACATGAGGTAATACTCTGGTAACTGGCATTAAAACTGGCACTCAAAAATGCTGACTCCCTTCCCCGGCCCCATCCTTACATCTGTTTTGCTATCTTTATTGCTGTTCTACCTTTTGGCTTCTCATAAATATTAGGGGGAAGAAGAGAGGCATTGTCCATCATTGATGAGAGACGTGATATACAATTAGTGACATTTACATTTTAAGTGCCTTTCTTAAACAAATCGGACCTAGTTCTCACTATGGTTTATTTAATAATATCATTTCAACTTGCCTTTGTTTGACACAAATATACTTTACAGAGGAATCATGTAGATATCCTTTACTTTCCTAAGAAACATGTCCTCACATTTTCCTTCATTCATGTAGTTATTCCAATTTTAATAGAAACACTTAAACAAGGTTTCTACTTAGAAGAAGGAAACAAACAAAAACATACAATCTTGATGCTCTGTGGCAGTTTTCACAATGGGCAGCCAGTTTGTGGTATGTGCCTTCCAACTAAAGTTACACAATCTTATAATTAAGAAAAATCACATATTTTACAGTCATAGAAATGGGAAAGAGAATCATGTGATGTCTGGTGGGACTAAGAGAGTATGAAGTGTTAGCTTTGATGAGCCAAAGAAGAGAAAATCCTATAGCTCAAATTCTGATGGGGACCTTAGCAAGGACAGGCTTCCACGGCCCCCAAGTGCTCCAGCTGACGGGGTGGGGGTGCTGTCTGTCTGCACCCACACCCTCTAGTCCAGACACTTATGCTTTGGTAGAATGATGTGTTTACACACACCTGCAAAAATACACACACACACACACACACATACATATGCACCTTTTTTTCTTAATATGGAAAAAAAGGATTGGGAAGTCTAAATGTTGAGAGCAGAATAAAAATTTGAAGGAATTTCATAGTACCAGAAATTTTAGCCTTAGAGGAGGAAATTTCATAATCACAAATAAATAAATGCCAAGTTCCTTTTTAACACAAACTATTATGGGACATTTTAAAAACCCAAAGAGTACCTAATGTCTTCACCCAGTCGTCTAAAGAAATGTATAAAGACTTGGCCTCAGAGCTACAAAAAGAAAGAAAGAAATACATACCAAGGCTTAGGAGGGAAGGGGGCTTCCGGGCTCCACAGTTCAGCCGCTGTGGAGGTAACACTATTATTGGCTGAGTCATTTTTTTATTCTGTAACAACTTTATCTGATTCAACTCAAGGTGGGAGATTTTTAAAAAGCAATAGTTTACTACTGCTGTTGGTGAGGTACCTACATTTCATGTAGTTGATGGCAAGTAAAAAGGAGGCATGGATTACTGGTAATTGTCTGAGAATTACTACGAAATGGGTTAAAAGAGTAACTTCTTTGGAAAGGCTAAAAAACTGGCATGTCCTTTCTACTTGTAAGGATTCAAATATAATTAAATTTACCAAATGAGTGAACCTCAAAATAATGAATTTTTATCTGAATTTTTCAGGAATTCATTTAAATATTTTCCTATTTTTTAAAAGCAGCTAAGAGCTCATTTGGCGCAAAGGAAGAACAAACCATTTTCAGAGACTGCGCGGAAGCATTCAAATCCGGGCTAACTACCAATGGCATCTACACGCTAACGTTCCCCAATTCCACAGAGGAGATAAAGGTAAGGTATCAGGCCCCCCCGGCTGTAAATAGGTTGTTTCAGGAGCATAGTTCCCCCACCTGGAACCCCCTCCGGCAGAGATGACGAACACTGTCTCCCTCACACCAAGTACTTGCCTAGGGCTCCAGGTCCCATCCCTGCACACAGAACACGGACATTGCGGACAAATAATGTGACACCTGTCTTATGTACGTATCTATCTTCTCCTTGCATTTGGCTTAACCATGCATACCAGTTGTTCTCCTGCGTATGTGTCACTCATTTCATTAATATTAAAGATGATATCTTCCAAGTACCAGAGTTCAAGTAACTATAGTTTGTCTTTCAATTGTTATTTCAATTAACAGTGTTATTCCATTGAAAATTTGAAAAGGGTTCATTCAGCTCACACTAAGCCAATCACACAGAGCTTTTCTTCAAGATGACCACGGCCTGTTAGTGTGCAGAAGTGACTCATGCACGGCCCATTTCACCACACAGAAAGTAAAAAGTCATGCTCTGAGCAGGAGAGGTTTAATAAAATCAGTACTTTTTACTGCTTTGTCGAAGACACCCTGAAGTGAAACTGGCTTCTCCCTACATGCCAGTGGGTGACAGAAGAGTAGTGACTCCAGGGTCGGCTCAGACGGGCCCCTTGGTTCATTCTGGAGCCCTGAGTTCCACAGTGCAGAAGCCCGAGACTGCTTTAGCGTCATCATGGGCATGCTTCCCCCTGTGGACTTGCCGCAGGGCCTCAGGGTCCCCCAGGAGTCCGCAGGTCACACTGTGACAATCTAATGTGGGCTGGAAGATTCAAAACACCACCCAAGAGAGCCATTCATTCTCTTCCCAAGAACACGGGGTTTAACTCAAGGTGTGAGCTCAGCTAACAACCGACAGCTGGAATCTACCGTCAGGAGAGGCTGGTGTGCAGCTTAACTCAAGTACCCTTAACTCAAGTTATTCTGGATTTCTCAGTGAGCGTGGCCCCTTAAGTCACTTTGGGACACACTGAGTTTTACATGTTAGAGAAACAAAAATTCACTTCCCCAGGGAGCATTTCAATATGGCTTCTCTTAGAGGTTGATAAAGTAAAATAGTATTACATGAGAACCAGTATGAAGTGTTATATAAGTATCAGATGAGTGCATATATATATTAAATGTCCATAAATATTCTTGCATCTAACTGTAAAAATAGCTACACACTGAACCAAAGTAAACACTTAAATTGAAAAGGCATTTGATACTGTATCAAAACAGAAATTTTAGAGGCTCCTGTAAGTATTATCTATTTGAACTCAGTATTATCCTTGGTATTTAACATGGTAATGAAGAAAAACACTTTAAAAATACAAGCATTAAGGGTTTAAAGACATGGAATTTGAAACAGTAACATATACCTTCATTACGAATTTAAAACATAAACATTGTGCTATTCCAGATAATACTGTACAAAGAAATCTTTCTAATTCATGCATGCTGCTTTAAATCAACCCTGAAAATCAGTTAATGCCCCTAGCGCCTCAGGGACAGTCCCTGAGAGGGAGGAAAACAACCCCGACTGGTGTCTGCAGATGAAAGGAGCGATGGCCAGACCCAGGGCCAAGGCTCTCAGGGCCCTCTGCAACCTGCTTTTCAGGACCGTTCTGGGTCTGCTGCTGTCTGTCATCTGACGTTGGCCTCTCTTGGCCTAGAGAGTTAACAACAGGGGCACAGGGGACAAGGACGAGGACAGTAGAGGACTTAACTCAAGTACCCTTAACTCAAGTTATTCTGGATTTCTCAGTGAGCGTGGCCCCTTAAGTCACTTTGGGACACACTGAGTTTTACATGTTAGAGAAACAAAAATTCACTTCCCCAGGGAGCATTTCAATATGGCTTCTCTTAGAGGTTGATAAAGTAAAATAGTATTACATGAGAACCAGTATGAAGTGTTATATAAGTATCAGATGAGTGCATATATATATTAAATGTCCATAAATATTCTTGCATCTAACTGTAAAAATAGCTACACACTGAACCAAAGTAAACACTTAAATTGAAAAGGCATTTGATACTGTATCAAAACAGAAATTTTAGAGGCTCCTGTAAGTATTATCTCTTTGAACTCAGTATTATCCTTGGTATTTAACATGGTAATGAAGAAAAACACTTTAAAAATACAAGCATTAAGGGTTTAAAGACATGGAATTTGAAACAGTAACATATACCTTCATTACGAATTTAAAACATAAACATTGTGCTATTCCAGATAATACTGTACAAAGAAATCTTTCTAATTCATGCATGCTGCTTTAAATCAACCCTGAAAATCAGTTAATGCCCCTAGCGCCTCAGGGACAGTCCCTGAGAGGGAGGAAAACAACCCCGACTGGTGTCTGCAGATGAAAGGAGCGATGGCCAGACCCAGGGCCAAGGCTCTCAGGGCCCTCTGCAACCTGCTTTTCAGGACCGTTCTGGGTCTGCTGCTGTCTGTCATCTGACGTTGGCCTCTCTTGGCCTAGAGAGTTAACAACAGGGGCACAGGGGACAAGGACGAGGACAGTAGAGGACGCAAGGACAATGTGAGCACTGCTGACGTAAACCCAGAGGGACCCTTGCCCAGCGCGGTGCCATAGCGCCGCTGTGCAAACGTTGCTCTGACTCGGTGCGGTGTTCCCAGGGCATGCCATCAACCCAACGGGCTCACTGAAACTCCCTGCGCAAGATGAAAACATGTAACACCCCAGGAAGATATGAGTCTATGGTCATGGCTGGAAACATTAGGATTTATATTCCTTTCAAACATTTGCAGTAAAAATAACTCATTTACACAGCAGGGAGCAACGCCCTTTTCAGAGCCTCAATTTCCTCATCTCCAAAATAAATGGTCCAGATTAAGTCACTCGAGATTCTCCCTCAGACCTAGGCCTGCACAATTCACTATCTGATCCAGGAAGAGAAAGTTGGACAGACTGGGGTATAAATTCTGGTTCTGCCAAACTGGGCCTCATAGCAAGTCACCTAACTTGTGTGGGCCCTTGGTTTCCTAATTGGCAACATGACATGCCGGCCCCTGTCTTAAAGAGCAATTTTGAGGTGATGGTGGAGGTGCGGCACCCAGAGCAGGACTTGGTACTTGCCAGCCACTCGGTAAATTGGAGCTGTTCTTGTTTTCTGCCCCCAAAGCCTATGAAACAGCTCCTCAGCATGGCAATACCCAATGTCGCCCTGGTTCATTTAATTCACGAAAAGAATGTTCCATCACCCTTTGGGCAGATCTTTGCTGAAAGGGCCTAAATATTTTGACTTTCTTTTTCAAGAATGTTTTTTGGTTTTTGTATAAGACAGACACTGCATGATGGCATTTTTCAGAAGCATTAGCATTTCTGTTGCTAGTGGGAGACATAATAGTTTCCTTGCCTAGATTTCACAGGCACCTGCCTCCTAATGTTTATGTGTTTGCTGCTTAATCAGCCATTCACCAGGACTTCAGAGCTGAAGCACAACACGTAAATTGAGCATTATTTGCTGAAAGACGCCAACTTAGAGCAAGAGATCAGGCCCTGCATGATGCACTAGCATGTAGATGCCAAGTACGCCTGCCTGCAGGGTGGTGACACTGGAGCCACGAGGCCCGGGCACTCTCTGAGGACTCCTGCTTCTCTGATCCTCACGTAGTTCATCTGCTTTATCACTTTCACTCAGTACCTTCTGACCATGTGGATGACTCTTTGAACAAACAGCATCGTTCTCTGAAAGTCTCATGTCCTAATTAACCAAAATACTTCAGTTTTTATAGGCTCTGTTTTTATTTCCTTTTTGTCAATTGAAGTATTGATGATACATAATTTTACATTGGTTTCAAATGTGCGACACAGTGGTTCAACAGTTCCCCATGTTATTAAATCCTCACCGCCTCTAGTGCAGTTACTATTAATGTAGAAAGATGTTACAGAATCATTGATCATTCTCCATGCTGTACTACCATCCTTGTAACCAACTTACACTGTGACTGAATTGTTACACCCCTTTATCCCCCTCACCCTCTCCACCCATCCACCCAAAAGTCTCCCCTTTGGTAACCACTAGTCACGTCTCAAAGTCTATGAGTCTACTCATGTTTTGTTCCTTCTGTTTTGCTTTGTTTTTATATTCCACAAATGGATGGAATCATATGGTATTTGTCTTTCTCTGCCTGGCTTATTGCACTGAGCGCAATACCATCTAGATCCATCCATGTTGTTGTAAATGGTAGGAGTTATTTTCTTTTTATGGCCGAATAATATTCCACCGTGTGTATGTACCACATCTTCTTTATCCTCCATCTACTGATGGACTCTTAGGTTGCTTCCATATCTTGGCTATTGCAAATAGTGCGGGGGTAAACATAGTGGTCCACGTCCGACAAAGTAATATTAAGGAAGTGTTCCAGTATCTTATCATTGTCCCTATTGGAGTTTGAGAACAGTGGGGCTCAAACCACTTACACACTAGCAGTGACTCTTAGCCATCCGAGTGCCCTGACTCTGGGCTTCCGTAGCAAGATGAACTTGCTCTCTGATTTCACTAGCTTCATAGTAGTGACTTTGACTCCAAAGAATCAAATATTCTTGGAACAAGGAGAGGTTCGCTGAGAACCATTCCAATCCCTTCTACCCACTAGCATGCTGTTTAGTACTTAGGGTGCAGGGCAAATAACTTCTGTGCATATATGACTCTTCAGGCCAATGCAGCTTATTCAGCTAGTTTACTAAATGGGTTTTCTACAAGATACTAATATAAGCGAGCAGTAATGACTGTTTTTGTGGACTACAGGCATTATTATTCATGAACTGACTTAACTTGGAGCTGTGTGGAGGCACTTCTGGCCTATTAACAAAAGGGTCAAGTTTCTCTGTTTTTGGCAGCACAGTGTAGTAGAAGAAACATTACAGAATTAGGAATTAAAGAGACCTTACTCAAATCCTATATTCTGCCTAGTAGCTGAATGACTCTGCTCAAATTACTCTAACTTTACTAAATCCTTTCTCCTTAAAAAATGCAGAATTATAATATCACAGCCGAGTTGCTGGGAGACCACAGGTAGTATGTGTGAAGCGCAAGGAACAGAGTGGTATTTGCGATGATGATTGGTGATTAGGGATGATGCACGGTGCTAATGAAGGGTTGCCTTTAGCAGGTCAGTGTTATGAGTCTGCACAAGTTAAAACAGGGATATCGTTTTATTCCTAAAATAAATGTAATTTTCTTTAGTGGAACATATGTTTCCAAACTTGAGGATTATCAGGGAAGGCAACGCAGGCCGAGTGACCCCATGGGGAGAGACTGGGTATCGGTGGAGAGGAACCCAGACAGAGATGGGCTCTAACAGCCCTCTGTCCCATTGGCCAAGAGACGCCAGGTGGCCGTTTGCGATGAAAGGACGGGTCTAGGTGTGTGCTTGGTCCTCTAGGGCTTCGACTTGCAGATGCTGACAGGTCACATTTACACCTACACTGCCAAGATTATCTCCGTTATTCCCCCAAAAGACCAAGGAAAACAACAACGGAAGAATATTTCTAATTTGTTTTGAACCTTGACTTTCATATTTACTGACTTGCATGCTGTTGGGAAATTGATCTTTCTGGAGAACTTGTTCATTCTACTATAATCTCATTATTTAAAACTATTTATGTAGTCTTATTTTCAGGGGTTTTTAATTTCATAATAAAACTCCAGCTGAGTTGAAATTGAGCATTCATGCTCTTAGCCCAAGAAAGAATTCTGTGTTCTGAACAAAGTTTAAACCCACCAAGCCAGTTTAAAAATAGAAATTTAAAAGCAAAATTGCCAGGAAGAGAAGAAGGGCAGTGAGCAAAGGGCAGGGAAGCTTGAAGTCATGATCTGTGGGGTAGGACTGCAGGGCCAGGCTCAGGCCGTGCACATCGCGCAGGGCACACGGGCACCTCAGAGCCCTCATCCCGTGGGGTGAACCCAGAAACCTCTTATCCCACAAGTAGGAAGCAAACAGCCCCACAGAATAACACAACAGGAGTCGTGGAAGCCCTATGTGTAATGCAGCCCCCTCACAATGACTTTCTCAGGGACAGCAATCTTTGGGTCAGCCTAAAACAGATGATGAAAGTCCCATTTTCATCAACACACCATATTCTATTACTGTTTATTTTTTGCCATCATTTTAAAATTCGTGGTTTCCCAGTTTAAAACCATCTGTTCTTGGAGGACCACAAAGATTGGTCCCAGAGACCCTGTCAGCATGAGCCTTCCTGTTTCTGTTAGTGCAGACGGAGACCAGAGTCTCCGACGCTCCCCGCTAACGGCATGTCCCATTGGCAGGCTTACTGCGACATGGAGACTGGCGGAGGCGGGTGGACGATCATTCAACGACGAGAAGATGGCAGTGTTGACTTCCAGAGGACTTGGAAAGAATATAAAGTGGTATGAATATTCTTTAAGCCATGTGAGAATCATTTTCTTTGTGAGAACTAATTTTGAGATCTGCAGAACCTTCACCACGCATCCAAAAGTAACTGATAATTTTTGACAATTTTTTTTAACCAAAGGGCTTTCTTTAACTGGTGTCTCGGTCTCCCCATTCTAGAGCTATCCTATCAGTATCAAAACAAGGTAATGTGAGTGTCAGGCTTATTTTTAATGGCAGGCTCAACACTTTTTGGTGAGCCAGCTGTTTCATAGTGTTTCACACACCTCCAAACTTAGCTGTTTATGCTCAGGTTTCCATTGGTGGTTCCTGAGTAGTTCTAATTATCCTAATTTTCTTCCAGTTTATTAAAACTGACCTCTTGGAAGTTTACTCTCTTATATAGGATACCCCAAATTTTCACTGGGCAGGAAGGCATTTCTGCTGAATATCGGACAGTTATTCCATGCTAAATTGATGGACTGCTAATTTCAAATACACAAAGAAAAAAATAAATGATGTTAATTGAATTCTGTAACTCGGATCACAGGGCTTTGGGAACCCTTCAGGCGAATACTGGCTGGGAAATGAATTTGTTTCACAAGTGACCAATAAACAACGTTATGTGCTTAAAATACACCTTAAAGACTGGGAAGGGAACGAGGCTTACTCCCTGTACGAACACTTCTATCTCTCAAGTGAAGAGCTCAATTACAGGTGAGTCAATTTTATTAACTGAAAAAATGTAAAGGCTTTGGGGTGATTATTTCAGAAAGTGAAAATTCCATAGTACTAACCAGGATCTAAATTACTCTTCAACTATCTTATATGGAAAAACATTTTGTTTCTTAAGAGTTCTTGGCTGCCTTTAGGTAAGTTTCTCTAGTTCTAAAATTCCGGCTTTGGTTCTGACAATGTAAGGGAACCTTCATGAGGACAGTGTGTTGTCTGTTGTGTTTGCTGGGTATCCGCAAAGCACAGAGGAGCCCCGCCTAACAGATGATGGGCATTCGACAACTATTTGTGAATGTTGTGTCCCTGGTGGAAAACGTCATGCCATATCATAACAGGTGTAAACCTAAGGCTTTGTTTTCTTCCTAAAGGTTTAAAAGTTAAATCTATCTTTTTGCAGCTTAAACACATTCAATTGCTATGTTCTATCCCAAAGTCAGGCTGAGCTGCCAACTGTAAAAGTGGTAGAATCAGGAAGGAGGGCTAGTCTGTCAACCACTCTGCCCCCTGCCCTAGAAGGAATGGCCAATTCACAGCTCCTGTAGGTTTTCCCCATCTCACCTATTTGGTGCTAATCTGGAATGTTCTAAGAAAAGCACGAGTGACGTTGACTCAGAATTTACCTTCTGGTCCCATAAAATAGGTGTGATGATGGGAAGGCACCACGTGCGGTAGAGAGAGACAGCGGTGCGCCGGGTGGTGCCTCAGGAACTGGCCGGAGGGGGCACAACACAATGGCTCGCTCACTAACACGGTCCTGGAACCCAGGCCAGGGTGTTTGGTGTTCACGGAACACACATTATGAAATGTCCACAGAGACAGCACAGAGACAGTCATCACCTGGCCTACGGTTGCATCTATACCCCATTAATGCCCCAAACTCAGCCTCTGCTCAAAAGAAATTCCAAGATTCAAATAGTCTGGAAAATAAACATGATTTCAAAGTCCTTGAGCTGGCTTCTTGGGGGTGGGTCACGATGACAGCACAGAACAACAGGCTGAGAGCCAGCTTGCCTGACAACTACCTGAGAATCATGAAATGCCCTGTGTGTTTTCCTTTAACAACAGTGGGCCAAAAGTCAGAAGCATGTTCTGAAAATAGATAACATACAAGCAGCTCTGACATGACTTTCAAAAAGTCAGTGAAACACAGTCTACCACCTGTCCTAGAAAGAGCAGGGCCCTCTTGGAGAGGCAGTGGCTCAGTTGAATGGAAAGATAGGTGCTCAGGCTTCACGGCAGCTCCGAAATCACTCCGAACAGATCAAAATGTCAATGAATTTTTAGATACAAGTGGTTGGTCATTGTTTTACCTCCAAGCTAAATATTTTTTCAACTGGCAATAGCTAGGACTCTACAACACAAGAATTAAAAAGAGAAAAAAGAAGAAAGAAACACAAAAACTAAGGATTAGACGGTTTACATAAGAAGATTTTACAAAATGGGTCATTACCCTCGTATGCTGACATTATGAAAATATTGTAAGCTGAGATGGTTCTTAACAGACATTTCCTTTGGAAATGCAACCAATTTTGGGATATGCCATTTTAAAAGGCACACATTTGAGAGCCTTCTTAACATAGTAGGTGGTGTGTTAGTCTCATAAAAAACACATTTGTTTACAGTTCAGTTTAATTTACTTGGCAGTGTTAAGACAGATATACATCGAATAAATTATCCTTATAAAACATGTTGTGGTGATAAGAGCTGTCATGTGACTAAATAATAACTACAAATGTCTCAGAATGCTGACTGTATGGAGCAGCTGATGTGTTCTTTTTTTGCTAAACATATGTTCCCCAAATGTTGGAAAACTGAAAAATACATGTTATAAAGAGTGGATAAATGCATCAAAAGAATATGATTCTTTTTAGTAAAACTAAAAACTTATTTGTACAGTAAATCTTAAAAACTGGCCTCTTTTTACAAACATTCTGGCAGTTCTATACAAACACAGAGATTTAATTATTAAATGTTGTAATGACCTTCTCTACTCTACTGTTGTATAAAAGCAACTGAGATCAATTTTAAAGCAATTTCAAAAATGTGGCTATTCTTAACCAAATTTTAAAGGCAACTTTAAACCAATGGGCTGCACAATAGAAGGATCTAAAATCATACAGAGACTAACAAAAAATAGTATTCTTCCTAATTTTGCTCACCTTAGGGGAAACTTAATGAGTTCCATGAGAACTGGAATTGTTCAAAGGAGACAGGAGAGGTAAGGAGGAGGCAGGGCAAGCGATGTGGTCTCCTCCGTCCTATCATGATCAACAGGAAGGGCTGGGAAGACAGGAAGTGTAAAGTCCTGGTGATGAGCAGAACCCGTGTGATCCCTCCCCACAGGAACTGAGAGGCTGTACCAGAGGCCAGGGTCATTTCTGAGACATGAGAACCACAGTGAAATTCAGAAACCAGCCAGTGCCTCCTGATGGAGTTTCTGGGGCTACAATGATAATATAAACAGCTTCAAATCTAAGTCGTTAACCAGAAGTTGCTTAGGGCCAGAGCTTGATGGAACTGCACGTGCTCTGCTCCCCACCCCATCTTTTCAAAACTACTTCTTCCAGTAAACAAGCACCCCATTCAGGCGTGCACCACGGAGGAACCCTAACAGAGGAGCTGGACGCATCTGGTGCAAATACTAGCTCTACCACGTACAAGATGTCGCTTTGGATGAGTCCCTACCTCAATGAACCTCAATGATTTTATTTGTGAAAACAGGGGTAACAGCTGCCTCTCAGGACTGGCCTGGACATTCAGTGCCCAAGCTCTGGAAAGTGTCCAGCCAGCCTGGTTAGAGAGGGTCCCTGGAGAACCTTCCTCTCTTTTCCACCCTCTATTCCAATGTGAATCCTTTGAAATCATATTCCTTTCAAGGCACTGAGTAGCAAAGAGAGCAAGTTTCAAGATGAGCACTACTTAGCAGGCTTAAAACACACCCTCCTTCTGACAGTGTGGGGTTTTGGTCTGTAGGATCCCCAGGACAGGAACGCTCAACCCCCAGCTGCCCACACACCACATACCAACCCAGTATCACTGCATCCTGCCCAGCATGTGCCCTGAGCTGCTGTGCCATTTTGCCGGGGGCTCCTTGAAGTGGTGTGTACACCCCCTCTCCTTCCCTCCCATCTCCTCCTCCACACACAGGTCCCCGTGCAGGCCACACTTTTGCAATCTTCCAAAAGCATAGGCTATTTGTTATCTAGTGCCTGACTTAATGTTGTGTTGATTCCTTTCTCAATGTCTAGCAGGTTCATTACAGTATTATTTAGCAATGAGGCACGGCAGCCATACGGATTTATTTTCTACACAGTTCCAGAGACTACAAATTCAATGCCAATTCGGTGGTATCTGCTGCCCTCCCCACCACACCAAAAATAATGTTTGAAGTTGTCATCTCGGGACTCTTGTTTCTATGTGAATGATGCCTGAAGACCTGGAAGGAGGACTCCCCATGCATTTCCCCCTCCTTCTGTCTATGGGAAAGCAGCAGACTAAATGCCAGCACCCCAAAGCCCCCGCTGGCGCTTGTGCAAGAGATATGCACTGAGGTTTTCATGAAAACATCCCTCTTTGCCTAGAGATCTGATGATAAGTGGGTTCCTGTTTATACCAGTGCAAAAATATTTTGTCTGGGGTGTGCGTTAGTACACTAATCAGCACAGAATGCCTTTCTGTAGAATGTAATTCTTCATTATGAAAAATTTTCCACCACAGTGAATCAACAGCCCAAGCCAAGCGCATTCTCTTCCTTTTTCTCTGCATGCTTACAGGATTCACCTTAAAGGACTTGCGGGGACAGCCGGCAAAATAAGCAGCATAAGCCAACCAGGAAATGATTTCAGCACAAAGGATGCGGACAACGACAAATGTATTTGCAAATGCTCACAGATGCTCACAGGAGGTGGGTGACGCTCCCGCTTCCTATTGTTTTGGCGAGCAAGAATTTCATAGAGGGAATGACTGGCTAGTTGGACTGCAATCTGTCCTGGTGACCATGTCCACACCTCATGGACAGACTGCCTCACTCCATGTGGAGAGATTTGCTTCTCACTTTTTCAGGCAGTTCAATTTTTAGCAAAATGTGATGTTGAGCTAGAATTGTCAACAGGCCAGCTGTGTCTTCTCAGGACCTATCCCAGAAAGGAGAGGGCACGACTGATATTTGGCAAAATCTTTCCTTGGTTTGGGCTCAGGTGTTGGGAGGTGGTTTAATTCCAGCCTGCTTTATTTGAAAGGTCAAAAAACTCAAAATGGCAACCAGAACAGCGATATAGGTTCACCACCATAGAAATGTGTCCAGTTAGTAATTTATTGTTCAAACAAGGAATTTTCAGTGGTCTTTTTTCTACAGATTTCATTAATATGTAGTGAATGCCTGCCTACACACGCAAAGACACTCCTTAAGCAGCCTCCGTCATTGGCGCAGCACATTGAAATGAGGGCTGTTCAGTTGGGGTCAAGGCCTATTTTCGGACTCTTCTTCCCTTGGAGATTTCGGGTCACACTACTTTTTAAAAAAAGTGGAACTTGTACCCGTTAGCATGACTGCTGTAATCAGTCACTTAAAAATGGCTGGATTAGAACTCAGAAACATTTAAGAGTTCAGTGAGAGGAACCGACTGTTAGAAAACTCATTCTGAGTTCTAAAAGTTTAAAAATTGAATAACCAGTTAATGATGCCTAAGACAAGAAAAAACTCTGATGTAAGCTGTCAAGTTAGTTCTTAAAAGCACTGAGAGATTCAAACCAGCAGCAAAAGTTCTGCTGACAGTACAAACTGAATGTAAAGGCAGACGGGAAACAGGCAGGGTTTGATTTGTGGGGACCGTGAACCGTGCTACCAAAAACCCATTCGTCACTCAGCCGGGCATACCAGGGTGAGCGCTGTGGCCGGTCCATTTACAGATGCAAGGCACTGAAGGGACAAGTAGAAGGTCGAAGCTTCGCATGTGTTTGCACTTCACTTAAGAATCGTTTACAGCAAAAAGGATGGATTTATCTATCAAAATAACCTGAAATTCAGTAATCTTCATGTCACTAAAATAACACGGGGACAATCAGGCTCCCTTCAGAAATCAATCCCTTGGTCCCTTAGATACTCTGCATGTGTATCAACATAATATATATCGGTAGCAAAGGCCTTCCCTATGAGCCAAAATTATTCCGGCTATTGTTCCAATGCAAGGAAGCTATTATATTGATCGTGTAAAAGCAGCTTGTCTCCCTCGCCCCACCATAATAATCCTTTCTAAAGCCAACAAAAGGGGAACAAGGGTGGGGGACCAAATATACCGAATCCTTCTGTCTGTCTACCATTCCCACACTGAGCCAGTTGTCCACTCAAGAGGGTGGCGGCTTCCAGACCACCCACGTGTCATGAGCTACTTGAGAGGAGCAGTGCATTAATAACCAAGGAAACAATGTATTTATTTACTCAACTCCAGATTCAGGCCTGAGAGTGGAAGTAGAAAACAGACAGGGGAGAAGAAATGCAGGCCAAGAGAGAATGTGGAGAGGTCACGGCTGCACAAGGGCCATATTCTAGCCCGTGGTCTGGACAGGGCACAAAGTAGCCTCACTATCAGCTAGATTTTTGCATGGACGATAAACACATAGTCAAGTCAGACAACAGGCTCCGAAATGGACAGATCTAGAAGCCTGCAATATCCCTGAATATTTTGGAGGATTCTGAGTACACACGCAAATGTCCTATCAAACAGACACCAACTCAAGTCACGGACCTGTTACCATCAGGAAAGAACTGAGGCCCCTGAATAAAATAATTGCTGATCATAGTCCAATGTGTAAATATAATAAAATACAATAATAGCAACAGAATATTTTCTAAAGAAATACAATATCACACTTACAACTAAAGCTGCCCCACTAGTACCTGCCCCTGGGGGAACTACCAAATTGAGTAGTTCATCCTGCTTGTTTATTTTACTATGTATGGAGATCTTAATACTAGTTATGTTTTCTGTATCGTGGAGTTTTATGTAAGGAGCATCACACAGTATGCATCCTCTGACGTTTTAAGAATTTGTTCAGATTAATGGCTGTAGATTGGGGTCATTCCTTTTCACCACCGAGGCCTCCAGCTGCTCCTGACTCTAGGGGCTTACAACCCGGGGGCAGCCGCTCAGGTGTCGGTGTGGACCCAGCCTTCACGGGCTGCCGTTCCACAGAGGCAGGGTGGCAGGCTTTACCTTGGTAAGCACACCACGATAACCTGGCCTTTCCCTTTTCTCTTTGGGACTCAGAAATTTCTTTTTTAGCTAGCTCCACTGAGTACTTAAAATTTAGGGTTCTATTTTAAGCAAAGAGATTCCTTTGCTGGGGGAGGGAAGCCTTAATTAGTCTAGCCTCCACTATGTCCCTGGAACTGGAAAATAACCCTGGCACAGTGAGAGTCCTCCTGCGGCTCTTGGCGTCTGCACACCCACACTGGGGATGCACCTACCGCACGCTCACCCAGCCAGGATGGGGCAGGACAGTCCCCTCTTGCTCTGCACGGGAAAGGAGTAAGGAAACTCTGGAAAGCATTCGCCCTGATGGGATCAGGATCCAACTGGCCTGCAGTCTCTCTGTCACGGCAGTACGTCCCACACCCAGGAGTGCTGGTGAATGCCGGCTGGCGGTGCGCGGCCGTTTCCACCCCACGTGAGGCGGTGGGGGCTCCCCGGTGCCTAACTCCTGTGTTTGCCTTCCACAGGCTGGTGGTTTGATGCATGCGGTCCTTCCAACCTGAACGGAATGTACTACCCACAGAGGCAGAACACAAATAAGTTCAACGGGATTAAGTGGTACTACTGGAAAGGATCGGGCTACTCGCTCAAGGCCACAGCCATGATGATCCGGCCGGCGGACTTCTAGGTGCCTGCGCGCACCTGAAGAGTGGTGTCCGGCGGTGTCACTTCCTCCCAAAGCTTTAAGAGACGCGGCTGCACTGTCTCCTCTTCCACCCCAGGCAGCCAGCACGCTCTCGGGCACCCCAGGGACGCGTGGGCTCCGATGGAGAGCCCCGGAAACTCCATCACTTTGACCTCGTCACTGAACAAAAGCACAGCCCCCAAGAAACAGCTGGTATTGGGACCTGACAGAAAGCCTTCCCGAAGATGAATCAAGCTTGCGAATGAGACTGACAGTTTACAGACTCTGCTGTCACAGCCAAGAATGTTGTGTGCAAGTTCATCAATGAATAACTGGAAAGCAGAACACTTATGCTACAGAGTAGAGATAATCTTGGAACTATATTCTTCTAAGCACTGTTTATAGATTGTGTAAATATGCATATGGCCTGAATCCAGCATCACTATCATAATTAAAAGGAAGAACAGATTCTCTAAGCCATAAAAATGTATTATATATTCAGGGACTTCCTGAGAAGTGCTTATTAGCAGTTTATATTTGGAGAAGAAAAAACCTAGTAAATGCATTTTTACCCCTTCTTCTAGGTGCTTTAATTTTTCATTTTGCAAACCATATTTACATATGCGCTGATAGCTTAGTTTTAAGTTAATGCTCAAATATATATTTCAAGTTTATATGGTGAAAAATTCCAGGATCTCTGAAATTATTAATAGAAATGTGTGCTATTTTAGTTTCTATAGAGATTGTACTATTTTTTTCTGCCTGGTTATTAAATATGAAGGTATTTTTAGTTAAATATAACTTATTAGGTGAGATGATTACATTTTTGGGTAATACTTACAGTTTTGTAATTTGATTCTGAAACAACCAAGTGTGCCTCTTGACAAGAAAAATTTTGAGTTTTAATGATGAAGAAAATTATACATTTAATTCCATGAAAAAGAGACTTTACTATCTTTTACTCACTATTCCATTAGGGATGTCTTTTTTCCATTTTAGTAAAATGTGTTTTAGATAAGTAGGCTACAATTTAGTCTGTGGCCGAGAAAGCCCTTCTATTTATAACACTTACAAAGCTGTACTTCTCAAGCTATATTAACCCCTAAAATTATCTGAGGAAAAAAATAATTTGCACTAGTTAAGATTCTTTTTTTTTAATGTCCACCACCAAATTAAAAAAGAAATTGTTTTGGAGTGCAAAACCAAAAATCTGATGTTTATAAGAGATTCAAATGTTTACAGAAAATTTTGAGAGCGTGGATCTGAACTCAGGACTGCAAAACAAATTCCGAAAAGTTTTACCTCTGTGGTTTTCATAGTACAGTGAATGCTAAAAAACATTGTGTAATGGTTTGTAATTTGGAAGCAATATCTCATATGTTCACTTTTGAGTCAGCTGCTAGGAAGCTTAAGAGTCAAATGTGCAACCAGCACTCACCTTATGTCTGTCTTCTCTTTCCACTGTTCCATCACTACTTTTCCTTATTCTGTTTTTCTCATCTAATTAATTTTACCCCTATTTGCTCCCACACTGATTTAGTTTTAGAAAACCCACGTGTTGCTATGTGTAAGGACTCTGGGAGTGTCAGGAGCCCTGCTTTTCCCAGGCAAACATATTAACTGAGTAAAGGAACGCCCCATCTCTGAACAGTTGCCCTTATTCCACGTAAGAAGGCTTCATAAATTCAGAGGTATCACAGACTTGTATCAAATTAAAAAACATCTATCTGATAAGAAAATATCACCACTTCAAAAGAAACAACAGTTCTATGATCTCTCAGTGACCATATGACAAAAACAACAGGAAAACCTGGCAACAACATAATTTATATCACTTGCCCACGTATGCAGGTAAAAAGATTCCAAAGACAAACTGCACCATGTCATTCAATGTTATTCAGAGTTACATAACTCTCTTGTGGCAGAAAATGGGGAGGGGGGGTTACATCTACACTTTAGTTCTTCACAAGGTATTTCAAAGAACGAGTCTTGCTGAGAGGAATTATTTCTCCTTAAGAATGCATGTATAAAGTTGAGAAGCAATCAACCCGCTAATCTTAACAATGAAAAAACACAAACAGTCCAACAACCTGGGTATCTTCAGTGGTTAGAGGACAGAGTTCAACTTCCTGTTGTGTGATAGTCCTACGGCATACCGCAACAACTAAAAAAACCATGAAGACTGGTTGTGGATAAAAATCAGCATAATCACCACTTACCTTTCCACATTAATCTTTTGAAAGAATGAATTGTGTCACAAACCAGTTAACATTTTTGAAAATGAAAGCCAACTTCTGCACAATGCTGCCTCCAACGAAACCAGAAATTATCTACTTAGTTATTATCAATCTTTAAAAAAATCAGAACCTAGAACTTTTCCATTAAACATTTAAGTACTTATGTGTCAGTAAAGTTGAAGCTGAATTCAGGAGAAACATCAAGATCACATCAGAGCAGGTCACAACTTTTATACCTATCAGTTCCATCTCTATGAGTAGTAAAAACATTTTTTTAAAGCAGCAAGCAAGATATTACATCTTAAAAAATCTTACCTTTTCCATTTTCGTTTTTCCTAATCCTGAGAACTGTTGTAATTAAAATATTCTGAGATTGCATCTTCACTTTCTCACATTTGTTTTCATAAATAGATAAAAAGTGTTAAGTTCTATAAACATGCCTTTTTGATAATGGGCATAATTACTCTCAATTTAAAAAAAATGTGAGTCTGTATCTATGCCAGTAATGATTTCCTAGAATACCAAGTTGTATTTACCATAATAAAGTAAGGTCTGACTTACAGGAGCTGCGGGGAAGTAGTCAGAAAGTTCAAATGGTTCCTCCGAAATCCAGTGACCCAGTTCCAAAGACCACAGCACCTGTAAGTGACACAATAAGCAGGACATTTACTACAGATTTATCAGGCTCTTAGTGGACAATAACCACTTCGTAGATGTAGCAAAAACAAAATGGGCAGAAAGCCCAGCAGTGACTACACCCTGCGGATCTGAATGAAGCACGTGTGTTTTAAACATCAAAGTGCCATAAATGTTATGAGTATTAATAAATGCTTAAGAAAATCTCACAATGACTAGAAATCTGGGTTATTAGTCTAGTGAGGCCAAATACTAAATACCACCCAACTTCTAGACATACAAAATACTGTATTTAAGAAAAAAATTCCAAGTTTCCAATTTAAGGAGTCGTTATAGATAATCCTCAGTAAATATCCTGGGATTTTATTAACTAAGAAAACAAATTAGGAGAAGATAGATCATAAGCCTGAATTTAAAAAACAACCCTTTCATGTGACCATTTTTCCTATCAGCTAATATTTTCAGGACTTTGCCTAACATATCCCTCCCAGACATTGGAAGGATAAAATGTCTCATAAGCAAGTTTTCATTATTATTAATATTTATTATTATTATTACTTGAACCCACACATTTTTAAATGATTATGATCAAAAACACATTTTTATTTTTAATTCAACAGTTGGAGATTCTGCAGTCATCTCTACCCCATGACCAAACTTCCTAAAAAATCTGTTTCTATGCATTAGAATATTACAACTAAAATAACCAAACTGGATTACATACCCCATGTTTATTTTTTATCTGCAAATTCCCTTCTTATATTCAGTGAATCCACTCTTTTCTAGAGTTGCTACAAACATCAGGTTCATTTTACTGATTTACTGGGAATGAGTAAATCGTTTTAGTGGTTTCAAAGCTAGTGCTTATCTAACACGAGAGCAATTTTTTGTTCCTAATAAAAAGTGAGCACAGTAGTAAAATAAGAGCAAGATACAGAATCAGAATTACAATTTTCAGCAGTGGCCTGAATCTTACTTTAAACAGATGCATATATTTATTCAACAGTTATTTCCTTCAGCTCACTGATCATCTGTGAACTTAGGCAGTGCCTGCCGTGAGTAAGAGCCCGTGCTAAGTCCTGGAAACAAAGCCAATCCTGGTGGAGTTCACCCACTGCAGGGAGGCAGGAAGGCAAACCACAATGGTGGTTTCTCCAAAACAGGGCTGTGGGAACCTATGGGAGGAAGCCAACCAGCACAGTCCAGGAGAATCAAGAGCAGGTCCACAGATGGGCCGACATTTTACATGTCAAGAAACAGGGTTGGGCGGCTTCACAGGGGACAGTATAATATGCTGTTTCTATCCCCATGTGCACAGTGGCATTACTAGCACATGGCAAAAGAAATGTCTCACGGGAGAACCAGAAGACAAGCCGAGAAGCCAGGAGGCAGACAGGGCACCGGGCCCAAGAGGATACACTGGGCACGGAGTGCGACGTGGGAAAATCTGACTCCGTAGACAGAAAGGAATGAGCTGTGTTCTCAGGGACCCTGTTCAATTTCCAGTTATCTGTGAGATGAGCATTTTGCCATTTAAGTCTCTTTGCTTTCTCTGATTTTAAGGGCCCAAGCAGCATTAAAAAAAAAAAAAGATATCAAGTGAAAGAAAGTATTAGAAAATTGGTAACTGTGTACTGAAATCATCCTCTACTTTGTTCCTTTTAGGTGGTTAAGAACACCTAAGTCACAGTGTTTATCTTCTATTAACAGTGTATGTTACCATTTACAGAGGCACAAACAACAATATGTGTGTGGTTCCCTACAAAGTCATGATTGGCTCAGAAAATACAACATAAAAAAGTTTCAGACCCTGGCTCAGTTCAGAAACAAGGCAACAAAGTGAGACACAATGAATGTACCAGTGAGAAAACACAGGAACTAGTCCTAAAAATGCACGTGGGATTTGAGTTCAAATGTAATCCACATTAAAATTCCTCTTTAGGAAATTTATGTTCTCTGAATTTATCCTTTCTAAATGTCATAAAAATAAAGCCATAAAGCATCCACAGTATAATTTTGGTAAGTGAATTAACAAATGTAATGTATGTAAGTACGCTGGGAATTAATATTCAACAGAGAGAGCAGAAAACACTAATTTGACTGTAATGAAATCATCAAATTAGAAACACAGGAAAAACTTTCTGATTTAGTTCTTTTATTAAACAAACTTACCTTTTCCTAGAGTGCTCAAAATTGGGAAAATGTACTCTGCAAGATCATAGTCAAGGTTGTAAGTGAACTTAAAAATAGAAGGTTAACCCAACATATTTCCCATAATATATGTGATAGAATAAAAAGTAACTGAGAAGGTAAATAAAGCGAGGAATGGGATTTTGTGAATACAGAGGATCAGTTCCATGTTTACAGTCCTTAAAAGGAGGGCTGAGCTATTTCAGCACTCACTGCAAATGAGTATGTTTGACATTTAAAAATTTTCATTTATAAAACTTGAGTCTTGTTGATGAATTTAAATAGGAACTGTTTTCTTGACTTATTATTAGATTAAGACCTACTGATGAGATGACTTTGCGTAATGTGGGACAGACTACGCAGTTAATTCCATGCCAGGACAAATATAAATGGTCCTCTCAGTTTATATACATTTCATCATTCTACTTGAACAACGTGAGGCGGTGTAGCTCCAGTGAACCCAAGCCAGAAAAGGGCACTAATATTAAATGCACGTCAAGAATAGCATCATTTACAAGGAAGAAAACAAAGTCAGCTTACGGTTAAACACAGCAAAATAAGCACCCATTCATCCTCACCATGTCCCAGCACGCAATGAAAATGATGGCATGAAAAAGAATGGGAAAGGGTCCACAGCAGATCAAACATGCTGGAATTTGGAAGTTGCAAAGCAGATGGAGCAGGGGAAATGGACTTACAAGGGCAAAGAAAGCTTGAAAGTGTCTGGAGAAGGAAGCCAACGGAGAGCACTCGATTCCCTGCAGATTCCCAGAAGGGCAGAGAAACTGGTGGCACAAGGTATGTCTGAAAATGAGTGTGGAACAGGGTAGAATGGAGCCATCTTCACCCCCCAGCCTGCCCTCCTCTGGAACAAGGTGGAAGGAAAATCAGATGGGCTTTCCTGAGAGCAGTAAGAAGCACGAGGGAAACCCCCAGCACAGAAGGCGGGGCGGGACAGGGCCATTCTTTCCTGGGGACCTTGACCATCCTGGGAAACAAGACATGCAGACACCAACACCTGGGCGTCCCTCAGTCAGCACCTCCATTCCCATAGGACTATCTAGCCGCCACTCAGGCAGGCAGAGTCTCAAACGGCTTTTCACTGCCTCATTATTAAACATGACTTTGCACCCACTTGATAAAAACCGTGAGCATGAAAACACCAACAGAACCAAACGAACAGGACTCCTGAGTCCAGGGCGACAGTTGCTCTGTAGACCTAGAGCACCCCGGTCTCCAGGGGAGGACACTGGGATTCACTGGGGTGCCTCCAGGAAAAATGAATGGGGCTGAAAGATCATCTGACGTGTAGACAGACTTGACAGAAGAATTACAGTGCTTTTAGAAAATTTTGCAGTGAATTAGTGATAGGTTTACAGAAAAATATAAGCAATCAAAATAACTGTCAGTGATCAGCTTAGAAAACCAACCAAAAAATTACCAGAAATGAATCACTATATGGCTTGGTTCAAACAGTATTCACATACTCATTCATGTATATGTGTGTGAATATGTGTGTGCATGTTAGTACACACACATAAAATGCTCAACAAAAATTATAACCATATTCAGTAGATTGGGGAGGGGAAGTGTAATATAGTACTAGAGACAGCTATATAGTCACATTTTAATCTTCCATAAAAGGAGGTCTATGGATAAGGTCTAAAAGTGAAAGAATTTAAAAATGGCAGGAAAAGCATTTTATTTAGAATTTCGTAGGTAAAATATCAGAAGGCTATTTTAGCAGTGAGAATCCAGGCTAGGAAACTATGGAGCAGGCAGTGCCATTTTTTTTTTTGAGAGGGAATCTCTCATATTTATTGATCAAATGGTTGTTAACAACAATAAAATTCTGTATAGGGGGTCAATGCTCAATGCACAATCATTAATCCATCTCAAGCCTAATTCTCATCAGTCTCCAATCTTCTGAAGCATAATGAACAAGTTCTTACATGGTGAACGAATTCTTACATAGTGAATAAATTCTTACATGGTGAACAGTACAAGGGCATTCATCACAGAAACTTTCGGTTTTGATCACGCATTATGACCTATAAACAATCAGGTCAAATATGAATATTCGTTTGATTTTTGTACTTGATTTATATGTTGATCCCACATTTCTCCTATTATTATTATTATTTTTATTTTTAATAAAATGCTGAAGTGGTAGGTAGATGCAAGATAAAGGTAGAAAACATAGTTTAGTGCTGTAAGAAGGCAAATGTAGATGATCAGATGATCAGGTGTGTGCCTATGGACTAAGTATTAATCCAGGCTAGACAAGGGCAGCAAGACATCCACGGATGCAGAAGATTTCTCTCAAAGCAGGGGGGGTGAGGTTCTGAGCCTCACCTCTGTTGATCCCCAAATTCTCACCTGATGGCCCCCCTGCGACTGTGCCTGTCTTAGGTTGTTCCTCCCTTGAGGAATCTTACCCGTCTCTGGCTAACCAGTCATCTTCCGGGGCCATACAGGGAGATGTAAAGTTGGTAAGTGAGAGAGAAACCATATTGTTTGAAAAGGTTAGCTTTTTACTTCTTAGGCAGTGCCATTTTTATTATGGCTTCTTAAGTTATACTTGACTTTTAAAAAACATTTTATTTTGGATGATTTTAGACTTACACAGAGGTTGCCAAAATAGTACAGAGTTCTCATTCACCCATCGCCTAGATCCTGCTGCTGTGTGAGCCCCAGCTTTGCTCTTCTTTTTCAAAAGTGCTCTGCGACCAGAGCTGGCTTGTTGTTATCTACAAAAAGATCTTGTTGGGCTTGTAAGTGGAACTGAGTTGAATCCACAGATCAAAATGGGA